TAGATAGATAGATAGATAGATAGATAGATAGATAGATAGATAGATAGATAGATGGATAGATAGATAGATAGATAGATGGATAGATAGATAGATAGATAGATAGATAGATAGATAGATAGATAGATAGATAGATAGATAGATAGATAGATAGATAGATAGATAGATAGATAGATAGATAGATAGATAGATAGATGGACAAATGGATAGATAGAGAGATGGACAAATGGATAGATAGATAGATGGACAAATGGATAGATAGATAGATAGATAGATAGATAGATAGATAGATAGATAGATAGATAGATAGATAGATAGATAGATAGATAGATAGATAGATAGATAGACAGACAGATAGATAGATAGATAGATAGATAGATAGATAGATAGATAGATAGATGGATAGATAGATAGATAGATAGATAGATAGATAGATAGATAGATAGATAGATAGATAGATAGATAGATAGATAGATAGATAGATAGATAGATGGACAAATGGATAGATAGATAGATGGACAAATGAATAGATAGATAGATAGATAGATAGATAGATAGATAGATAGATAGATAGATAGATAGATAGATAGATAGATAGATAGATAGATAGATAGATAGATAGATAGATAGATAGATGGACAAATGGATAGATAGATAGATAGATAGATAGATAGATAGATAGATAGATAGATAGATAGATAGATAGATAGATAGATAGATAGATAGATAGATAGATAGATAGATAGATAGATAGATAGATAGATAGATAGATAGATAGATAGATAGATAGATAGATAGATAGATAGATAGATAGATAGATAGATAGATAGATAGATCATAACAAGAACTGCTGCTTAATTGAATGCATGTAATAGCGACACCCGGTGGTTATTTATTGAATTACGTTCATTTTTGTACTAAAAGCCTCGCGGGCCCGCCACAAAACTGATTGCGGGCCGCAGATGGCCCGCGGGCCGTAGTTTGGACACGCTTGACATAGGGGATTTATAGTTGGTGAAAATTTTGCTAATTTTGCGTTTGTCCAATGAAGGCGATGGACCACTTTAAACTGAATAATTGTATGTAAACAAATTGAAGTTGAATGAATCTTATTTATAATGTCTTGCCAAATTTGGCATTGTGATTTTTTGCTCTGTTTATTTGAAGTCATTTACTTATTGTTTTTTATGACTATGCAAATTGCAATATGACTATGCAAATATAGATAGAGAGGTAAACTGTAAGATGTTGTCCATTAATAATACCATCCGCATTTTTTATATATTGTTAGCTATTCTTACAAATATACCCATGCAGCATGTCGATGAGTGTTTTCGAGAACCCTTCATTGCCGGTCATGCGTCTGCTGTCAGGTTTGCTCTTCAGAGGAGTTCTCCAGCATGTCTTCAGATCAGCTGGTGAAGCTGCTGCGCAGTGAGGAGCTGCGGATCGAGGACGAGTATCAGGTGTTCACGGCAGCCATGGATTGGCTGCATCACGACGTGCCTCACAGGAAGAAGCATGTGGTGGAGGTGCTGGAGCCGGTGCGCTTCCCTCTGCTCTCTCCACAGAGACTCTACAAGTACATCGAGGGTGAGCCAGAAAAATCGAGCTCTGTTAAAGAGCTTTGTTAAAGAATTTTGGATAAAATTGGATAAAAATATCACAGTATTATGATTACTGCTTTAAAATATGTGCTTTTTAAATGACTTTTTCCTCAGTGAACACAATTTATTTTATTTTAAAGGGCCATGAACCCCCCTCGTTTCAGCAGGGTGTTTTCACACCTCTACTTTGGAAAAAGTCAGAAAAGTGGGCGTGTCCAGCTCTGTTTAGGGGGGAGTGTCAGAGGAAGAAAAGTGGGATGGTGTGGGAGTGTCTATTTGGGCGCGCTGAACTTCAGAGTCAAAACACACAACCACAGCGGACAAAGTGACTGTGTTTACATGGGCATCTGTAGTCGAATTATTTGCCAAATTATGAAATGGTGGACTTTAACTGCAGTTTGGCTCTTTCATTCAGGGAATTCATTCATGTCCCTCGCGACACACGAGATATTTGATTCGAGGAACTGCTGTAAGCGTGTATTTTTCATGCAATGTTTGATACCGCACGGCGAATGAGAGAAAAAAACCTCCGCATTTCCCAGAAACTTAGATGCACACGGCAGGTAGCGTCAGAAAGCCGCGTGTGTTATTCCGGTCACTAAATGCGGTAAAAACCCTACACGAGGTTATAGTTTGGTTGTAGTGCTAACATGTTTACACTCGGTGCAATAGTTTGTTAGATACGAACAAACTGAATAAACAAAGAGCACTGGTCGCTCACTTACCAAATCTGTAGAGACAGGACAATCACCAGCAACTAGAGCCGCGTCTTTATTGAGAGGAGACTAAAGCGAATCCGGATCTCAGCGTTTGCAGATGAGAACAGCTCTCAGGTAAACAATAATCCTCCTTAGACACGTAAGTTATTGTTGTCGAGCGTCGCGTACACTGTTAATCCACACGTGAGTCTGAGCTCTCACAGAGAGAAAATGAAATGTCGAGCGTCGCGTACACTGTTAATCCACACATGACTCCAGCTGCGCTCTCACAGAGAGAAAATGAAAACAAAACTTAACTGCAGCAAACTATAAAAGCAACACTTCACGCTTGTTTTGCCAACACAACGTGGCGTCTCTGTCGTGTAAACACTGTGACAGTAATGAATATTAATGAAGTTGCACAATAGAGCGCGCTGATTGGTTTGAACCTAGCCTTACTCATGCATTAATGCAACACACTGTAAGACGTAATAAGACTCACTCTGGCACAGACGTCCAGTCTGCACGCTGGAATACACGCTATTATGTCATGACCGTGACGCAGCTTCAAAAATTCGTTTCAAACAGGAAGTACGAATTTGCTTGAAATAACGCAAAAACAACCAATTTACACGTTTTAGTGAAATATAGGTGTCCTAATAGTGTTTTTAGCAGTGTGGGACACATATACGACTGTCAACAGCTCAAAAAATGTGTTTTGGTGTTTCGTGACCCTTTAAGAAACATTTATAATATTTTACACACGTCAGGCTAAATAATTCTGTAGCTTTGATATGAAGGGTCCTTTTCTGCTGGAGATACTGTTGCAGTAAAAAAGGAAAAGCTGTAAAAACGAAAAAAGGATGCTCTTAAAAATGTGGTGTGATGGATATAATAGGAAGAAGATTTCAAATGCTTCCACCATGCGTATCATGGTGGTGTATTTCTCGAGCTTCATGTATGTTGACATTGGTGGTGGACTTTCTCTGACAGGCATATCCGACTTCAGTTTGCGAGTTGCGCTGCAAACCCTTCTGAGGGAGTACACTGAAGTCAGCAAGTCCCCTAAAGAGAGCAAACCTTTCAGCCTTCTGCAGACAGCCAAGACCCGGCCCAGGAGAAAAGCCCGCAAGTACCTCTATGCCATCGGTACGTAAACCCCTCTGCCGAAAACACACACCTTATTGCTAAAAGACACATCAAGACATTTCAAACTTAAAGATGAAATTAAGGGTGCTTTCACACTAGCACTTTTGGTCCGCGCCCGGGTTCGTTTGACGTCATAGTACGGTATGTTTAGCTAGTGTGAACGTGTCTTCTGAACTCGGGTGCGCACCCGTGAACCGTACCCGAGTCCGCCTGAAAGAGGTGGTCTGGGGTACGATTCATGCGAACTCTGGTACGGTTCACTTCTGAATCACGGAAGTGAAGTGCCAACTGCACAACAAACGATCGTTTTCATAACGTTCGTTCGTGTTTGTGTCACGTTTTATACCTTGGTGACACGTACGGGACTGAGCCAGGGCAAACACAGTAGCTCTGTTTCCATCCAAAAATGCGAATAAACTTTATGCGCAAAACTGGATTATCGCATAAAAGTTGTGCGAATGAAGCATCGTTTCCATCCAACGAGTCAAAGCGAACAAAATCGTCACTTCCTGATTAACTTGCGCCAAATATGAACAGTAAAAACTGCATTTGCTGCAGTAGGAGAAGCTGCATCAATCTTTTCTAAATGAATGCGCCTCAGAAGACAATCCTGACATGCAGTGAGCGCACAGTGGTGTTTGAAGGTGTCAGACGCGGAGCACAGGCGCTCTTGATTCTGGAGGTCATTAATAATATAATAACTCTAATACTGAAATGGTAAGGTGTTTTTTCAGGCCCGTGCAGGGACTGTCCAAAGGGCATGTGCAGTAGGGGTGTCAAATCGAAATCGATAGAAATTTATGCTCAATTTCGATTATCGAATCAAAAAATAGAATGGTCGATGCTGCCACGCCCCCATGTCACGTCAGCTTGGCTTGCCAAGCGGGAAAAAAACAGGCTTGTTGAAGTGCTTGTTAAACTGCAGGAGCAGGAGACCCGTCGACAGAGCTTAAACCCTCTCCTCTTTCAATGAAGTCGCCGGTGTGGAAGCATTTTGGATTTCCATTGAGTTATGTTGACAACGTTCGTGTTGTAGACAAAAAAAACACAGTTTTGCAAGCTCTGCTATGTACGTATTAGGGTTCGTCCGATAGACAACAACGGCATCGCGATCCTCCGCCCCCGTTGCAAATCCGCTCGCGAAAAGTACACACTCAGGCCCTGTTTACACTGTCTTTGTTTTTAAATGGCATTTTAGAACGACAACGATTTGACATCCACAGTGGCGTGTAGCATTTCTGAGCAGCCCTCCTTCCTCTCTACCTCTGAAAATGCACATCACGTGACCACACAGACACAGACGCACACACAGCCATGCGCTCCAGACAGCAGGTCCAGGCAGTCAGAGGACTGCTTCAATCTTTCACTCACTTGTACTTAGTCATTTTAGCGAACACCTCAGATACTGTTGGCTGGTTCCTGTTGGTTGTGCGTCTTTTTTACCGACGCCATTATAACGACACAG